CCAGGTCTACCAAGGTGACGTCCTCCACGCCCATCTGCAGAGCCAGCACAGCGTGGCCCGGCCTGGCGGAGATGACCAGGGTCCGCGAGTCGTTCGAGAGGTGGTTTCGGGCCTGGGGCACCTTCAGGAGGAAAGTGTAGGAGGCCCTGGCGGTTTTCCAGGCGTTGTTGGACTGGAGGCGGTTGTTGTGCTTGTCGATGGAGGTGTAGGGGCGGTGGGTGAAGTCGCGGGTGGATTTGGGGAGTCAGGGGGTTTCGGGTTCGGGTCGGACAGGTCGACAGAAGTGTCGGGAGTTTCCAGGTAGAGGAGCCACAGGGTCACCGTGGATGAATCCAAGCTGGTGAGGTACATCGGGCAGTCGTCTGGCCATTCCCGTCGAGGTTATCCTCTTCTGCTGTGAGCATTCCCGGAGAAGCCTGGTGGGTCTGTTCGCCGATAGAGGCTGTTTGGGTGAGCTCAGAAGGTGCGGGAAGGATGAGGAGATCTACATGATGAACAACAGGAATTACGTAATCGATCTGTATTTGGAGAGGGATATTGGGGATTTAAAGGAGGCTAGCGACCAGATTCTGAGGCTGCCGGGGATTGTGGAGAAAGGGATGTTTCTGGCGATCTACGTGATTGTGGTCGGCGTTAACGGCGTGACTATGAAGACTAAGGTCGGGGAGAATTGGAAGTGGATTCTTTTAGTTATGGGGATTTGAGGAATGGATTTAATGTCTTGAATTTGTAGGTTAGGGTTGAATTAGGGATTAAAAAACGAGGCAAAGGAGAGCCTGTTTGTACGTGATTCTCCATGGATGTATTATTTGGAGCTCTTTTTTTTTTCAGATCTGTAGAGAGATTATATAGATGAGGAAGAAGATACCTTTTTCAATGCTTTACAATTAAAAATAAATGAATAATAATAGTATTAGTATTTATATGGGGAGTTGAGAGGAAAGAGAAATATGTATTAGGTAGTTTAGAGGAAAAAGAAATGTATTGGGGACTGACAAGGAAACTCAAATGTGGATTGGGGATTTTAGAGGAATTAACCGATAATTAATTTAGTAAAAACAAATATTTGATTAATAATTTATTATTTATCATAATAATAATAAATATTATGAAAGAGAATATTACTATAATAATAATAATTATAATATAAAAGAATAAAATATTATATTAATAAAGAAAATTTTATAAAAAGTAATGAAAAATAATATATTAATATATTAATTATAATAATTATATAAAATTTGTAAATAATATAAAAGTAATTAATTACTATTATAATAGTTATTACAATAATTATTAAATTTGAAATTAATCACTAATTATTATAATTAACTTCAAATGTTATTATAAGATATAATTAAATTAATTAATTCTTATCATTAATTCAAAATTTGACTTGAAAAAATTTATTTAAAAAAAAAGCATTTACACATATATAATTAATCGTATTATATAAATTAAAAAAATATATTTACTAATTATTACTCTAAATTGTTCCTTTAGGGTATTCGTATACCTGGACAAGCTGCCAGGAGGGACGACGACGAGGTCGATGATATTGTTGAATATTCTGGAGCCCGACACACTAAAAGTCGGAATATAAATGCGTATGTTCGTCAGGTTCACAGGAGATGATCAAAGAGGCTCGGAGGATACAAACTGGTCAGGCTGGACAGTCATGCAGTTCGAGACTCCCCCTACCACCACCTCCGGTTGGCCAGCAGGCCGGGGGCAGCAGCAGAAGGTTGGACTGGAACCCTGAATTTTGTCATTGATGCTGAGGCGCTGAAGTAAGCCACACCATACTCCGTGAGGACACGTGCCTTTGAGGGTTAAGGAATACTATTGGGAAGATTGGGCATTGGGTTCATCTTACCACCTTGAAATTCTTTATCCTTCTCTTTTGGCAGCCCCAACCTGTCATTAGGTCACCAACTTCCTTGACCTTCCGGCACTGGGATATTCTTTTCATGGTGCGGCTGGCCAGCCAGGCAGCTCTGTAGTCCCAGTCCCTGGTACATTATTGTACGATCACGCTTAGCAGACATATTTTTATACTGGCCAGACAGGCAGTTCGGTACCCCTTGCACCAGCACCGTACGGTCAGCAGAGATATTATGTTGATGAGTCGGTAGCCCAAAGGGAGCAGCCTTTTGACGAGTATGCATCTTCATATGATGAGGACGATATTTCTTCTCCTCGACCCCCATCACAGCCTGTTGCACGACCGGCAAGACCTACGGTTCCTGTACAGCCTGTTGCGGCTCCTGTTCGGCCTGCTCCTCCCCGACAGACTAATTGACGTTTTGCTAGCACTAGATCCTCAGGTAAATAAATTGTGTATTTATTATTGTTTGACATTAAATATTTCGATTTAATAATAACAAATTATTGGTAATGTCAGTGACATTATTTAATATATGTATTTATATATTTATATGTTCTATTCTACTGCAGGTACTAGCAAACGATCTAGGACTGATCATGAGGCAGTCTGGATCGTTAAAGCTCCAGTGTCCGGGGGCCCATGGATGAGAGTGTGATCCCTAGCTTTCTAGGGCACGTAGTGTAGCGCCCCATTTGTTCAGGATTATTATTGGAATTATTATTTATTTTATTTATTCGGATTTATTTTTACTCGTGCTCGATTATTAATTTCGATTGTGATTATGTGCTCGTAATTGTCTGTTTTCGTGTTTTGTAATTTAATATCGAGTCGGATTGTAAATTATTATTTTTATCGATTGAACCAAGTCGAGCCGTTAGTACCAAACGCGGTCGAGCCGTTAGTACCAAACGCGCACCCAAGCAACCGGGCCTCAACCCACGTGCGATGCCCGCACCAGCCCGAGAAGTGCCCCAGCCCGGCCTTCGGCCCGCCCGCCTAGCAACCTTCTAGATGGCATTCAAAATTTGAATTGATTTGTAACCCCCTTATCCCACTTATTATGCTTTGGCCAAGATTATGATGGGAGGTTACAAGTTTGTTAGCACTAAAAAGGGAAACCCCCTCCCCTCTCCATCATTTCTCGTCACTCTCCATCTCTCTCTCCCTCTCTCTCACTCTATTTTCCAGCATCTCTCTCCCTCACTCTTCTCCTCTCATTTTCATCGGAGAAACTCACCGGTCATACCCTTCGTGCGCCCCTCCTCAACGCACGCATCACCCGCGAGCACACCTTGATCGACGAGACGCCGCGACCCACGCCGGAGACCATGACTTGCTACACTCCCGGCCATCCTCGCACGTTCACGAGCCACCGAGGACCTCTGGACGCCATTCTTTTGTCGTGCGAGCCGACCCAACGCCGAGCACGCCTAGCGGTCGAGTTCCCTGCCCGTAGGAGCCGAACCGCGCCCATGACCCCGTCTTGTCGCCATCTCTCCCCTTGGTGTTTGGTATATTGCTAAAATCCTGGATTTTTGTGAGTTTATATGATATTTGGGCCGATTATGTGGTAATATGATTTGTTTGATATTAATATATTGATATATTGTATTATAT